CGCACCAAGATCTCGGGACCGGACGAGGTCAAAGCCAGCCGGCGTCTGGCAGTAGCCACCAAGGGTGTATTCTGCCGGCGGGAGAGAAATTGGAAAGGAGATGGGGTTGAAGACTGTCAGTGCCTGAGATGAAGTGAGGGAGTGAGCTTTGCCAAACACAGCTGCATCGCTTGAAAGGTGGGTTTGCGTCCGTAAGTGTGGTCTGTGCACTCCATCCCGGTCCTGAGGTACTCCGTAGACAGCAAGTGATGACCAGCGCAGCGGCGGCGGCAGGCAATTCCCAACTTGTCCAGCTTCCATCCCACTGTACTTCACGAGTCGGAGGCTGCCACTGCTCACCTCAGGCCAACAAGGTGCCCTACGGAGTGTGCCCTACGGAGTACGTCTCCGAAGTATACCGAGGTCGGCTGCGTTAGGTTAGCCCGGCGAGGAACTGTACCCTCCTTACCTAAGGTACTGCGTACCTACACTACAGGTAGGCAAGTAACTAAGTACTCCCGGATCCACTTGAGGGTTGGCCCCGACCAGCACGGTCTGTCGATCAGAAGCTGACTTAATCATACCGAGCAAGCACGGTTCACTGCTTGGCATGGCAGCAAGCTGGGGTCGACCTTCATCCAACATCCAAAGAACGAAACGATGTATCCCTACGAAGTAAACATTGATGAAAGGTGTCCATAGGGTAAGATGATGGTTACCGGGGTAGAAACATCAACGGGTTCGTTGCAGAAAACTTGGTCAGAAGGGTATGAACTTTTGTCAATTGCATTACGCTGGATTGCTCGATAGGTGGTCTCGAATAATTCAGCCCAACTCGGCCACGATAACAGCAACAGGAACGATCACGAAGAAACTTGAGGCAAGTTGCATCCGTGTGAAGGGCGGACTACGGGTAGACGGTTTATCCGTACCTAGTAGGTGATGACGGGTCAGACTCAGACATGAGATTGGTCAAATAAGCCGAGACGCCCGAGTTCCTCACCTCATCACCTTGGGAAAGTCAGGGATAGGCACGTTCAGTGTCTTACGAATATTTACAGTGTGGCGTACAGGTCAGTGTGGAAAATGTCCATTGGCTTGTTTCTCCATGCTGACGCCTGACGGACGCTATTTGGCTGTCCCGCGCGGGAGAGCTTCCCAGATCCATGCCTTCCATTTGTGACCCTACCTTTGAGGTTGATTACAAGGCAAGATAGGCATCTGTCGCCATTGGACGACTCAACTTCTGTCATGGCCGAGGAACCTTGGTCGCCCGACGTCTCCCTCCTGAGAAGAAAAAAAACCCTCGCGAGATAAGAAAGTTGACCCAAATTTGGAAAGACGAACAACTGATTAGAAGGAGGTCGAGAAATAGAAGAAAGCAAGCAGACAAAAACAAAGCCAAAGCCAATTATTGACACACCCAAGACACCCACCCACGTCTTGGACGTACCTTAGGTATGGAAGTTGGGACTTTGACATTGGACAGCAAAACGCCTAGCGCACGTAGCGCACCCACTGCGGCTACCCTGGCGCAGACATCTCACACGCTCGTCTAACCTTCTAAATCGAGCTATTGCAGGTCCCATTTGCCGCTGCGATGCCGGTCGGGTTGGTTGTTGTCCTAAACTAAGGTATTGGTAATCCGTCATCCGAATGTACATTGCCCCAATGTGCGTAATAAAGTAAGGTAAGGTCAGGTCAGATGTACGGAATTCTAGTGCTCATCCTCGTCCGTACACCCACTTCCATGTCTTGCCCCGGATACGGACTCGGAGCAATGAGAGACGACACAAAGCCGATGCGCGGCGGGGTCTGTCGACGACCCCATACCTGACGTACATCCGTACGATATTGCCTTAGTTCGTCGTGTTTTACGCTCGCCCGGGATTGGTTATCTTGGTGGCATACGGATACTCCGTACGGATGGAACAAGAAGTACGGGATAACGTTGAGTCACCTCCATGTCTCCCGTCGGCATAAATGGAAGGAATGGCAGGCAGGGTAGACTGGACTTACCTTGAACACAGTAAGTATGCAAGAACGGAGTCCGTATCCGTAAGGTACCTTGAGGAAAACATCTTGAAGAAGATTCTCATGGAAAAGAATTGTCGTGATTTTCCTTGTTCGTCCCCAAGGCGGCACCTGCCTTACCTTGCCACGCCTTACTGTGCCGTACCGTCCGTAGGAACGTCCAGGTAGGTACCTTAGTTACCTGCCTTACGTGAACCCTGGATACGTACTCTGCCTGCTCCGGTTCCCCATGAGGGGCTCTTCTAGACCCGAATAAGATTAGATCCTCAAGACCCATACAGTACGTACCGCATCTCGCGCTTTCCCGACCGACCATACACCGTGCATCTCCCGACGAACGACAGCTCCAATTTCCAAGGCCTTTTTTTTTTTCTTTTTTTTTTCTTGCTCCCATTCTTCTTCAATTATCGTCTCACCCAACCTGCTCACCTTCTCTCCACCACCAAATCCAAGACCGGGCCACATACGGACAAGCAGCGACAAGGATCCCGATCCTTTATTCTCAACCTCTTGGGGGAGTTCAAGGGACTGGTCATTCCCTCGCCATTTGCCGCCCCTGGTTTCTTACATCCTCCCTGGGTCTCCTCTCCTATCCGCCCTCCGTTTCGCGAATACGTCCTGCTCGCGCAATCTCTCTGTTGAACGCCGCCTGCACTTCGATGGAGACGGCCAACACCTAGCCCGTTCTAAACCGTCCTCCCGTGTCAATCTCTCGTCTTCACCTAACCTATCCGGGCATCTTGTTATTCTGCAGTGCAGCGGTATGGATTGGCTTCCGCTTCCGCTTCCTTCGTTCCCAATTTGAGTCGCCCTTCGTTGTGGACACTGCCCAACCCGCCCGTTGAGAGCATCTAGTGTCCGGCTTCTTCTTCAAACGGTTTCCTTCTATCGAAGCACCTCATTCTTCCAATTAGAGCTGGGAATTCGGTACCGCTGCTTGCCCGCTATCTGGCTTGCTGTCGATGCTGCCAAGAAAACAGACGAATGGAGAAAAAGCAAAAACACTGAGAATGAGAAATATTCGTTTCACGGCTTGGACAGGGCAGCGTCACAGCCCATCGGACCAACATCAAGTTCTTGCTCTGCCTGTCCAATGCCGGGCTAGGTTTGCTACGCAAAACCGCCGTCCCGACGTACTGGCTCCCGGCCCAACACTGCCATTTCCTGGGGCCCAGTGGTCAGTCACCTACTGCAACTTGGACAACCTCAAGAGGGCATGGACACAGGATGCCACACACACACACACACACACACACACACACACACACACACACACACACACACACACACACACACACATACACACACATACACATTCAACCACACACAGGCTTCCTCGGCACACACACCTGCTGCTAGGTCCAGCATCCTACTACCACATCATTTCATCTTTCCTCGGTGTTCTCTTGCGCGCGCAGCGGCTCCTCAGTCCTAGCTTGCTGGAATATCACCTCGTTGGATCGATGATCGAATGCCCTCAACTCAGGGTACTCAAGACATACAAACACGGCCCCTAGTTCCCCGTCAATGTCGAAACTGCTGCCCCAATAGGGAACAAGGTCAATTGAGGTCCCATTACCCACTATTCCCCGATCACAGACCGGCTGGGACGGGTTCAAGTCAAGGGCTCCCCCCTCCCCGTCACCAACATCCGTGGACCGTCGTCTTCTTCCCTGAGCCCTTCCCCAAGGCCCAGCACCAACACACATACCCAGGGTGTAAGGTAGCTGACCCAGAAACCCAGAAACCCAGAAATTCAGAACCCAGTGGCCCGTCTCTGACGGCCAGCCAGGGCTCGAGCGATGTCATCCATGATCCATCCTCTACTTTCCACACCTCTTTCACCTAGTGCCTTAGTGCGCACTAGCCATAGCCCTGCAGCCCGTCTCAAGCTTGAAGCAGGGACGTTGACCAGGGCGTTTTCGTTACGGCTGCCAATGCTTTTGCTGGAAATGCTGGAGCCTATCGATCCCTTCCCCGTCCCCGCCACAGCCCCATGTCTTTCTTCACTCGTCAACTGTGCCCATCTGCCCATCATCCCCCTCTACTGTGTACGGATACCTCAGCACGCTCAGCAACTCTCACTCACTCTTACTCTCACTCTCACCCTCACTCACCAGGTCCCATTAATTCTCCATTGCATGTCACTCTCACTCGCTCACACACCTCTAGCAGCGTGCCTCCGCTCTGCGCGCGCTTTCGCTCTTACACCATGCGCTAGGAATTCTCTCGCCCACTCTCACCCCCATTTACACCCCCTCCCCTCCGCTTCCAAGCAAAAGTCTGCCCTCGTACCCCATCTTATACACGCCCCCTTGTCCCCCCCCCCTCTGGTGTTTTGCGACCACACCCCCCACACCCTCCTCTCCATAACATAGCAGTATACACACAATGGGCTCTGGTACCTTACTCTGTTCTCCGTCCTGGCCTGGTCACTCAATCCCATCTCTGTTCTTACCCTGAACCCCTGTTCACCGTCTGGACTTACCTCCATGTAGTGTAGCTTGTCTCTTTGAACATGCCCGTCTTGTGTCTTCTCTCCTCTCATGCGATGGAAAAGGTACGTCCAGAGGTCGGGATCTGGGCTACCATCTCCACAGCTTTTCACTGCCCGCTTGCCATTTATAAGACAGTGCCCGCTCCTGGGCCCGTGAGGCTGAGATCTTTAACCCTCTGGTGATATCCAAGTTTAGCATCTGTGATCTCGTTGAACCAAAAGCCTCCACCTGGCAAGCAAGCAATCCTTCCTTCTCCAGACCTCAAAATCGTTGCCTGATCGCACTGGTCTCGTTATAAGTCTTCGATCCGGGTCTTCGAGTATCACACATCGTCACTGGCTTGATACAACTCATCAACTGGTAACAACGCTTGGACATACACATCAAAGGTATACTCTTACAACAAGTACATCTCGACATCAACTCTTCAACAACCTCGCCCGTATGTGCCATCCAGAGTTTCTTCATCGTCGTCCTTCTTCTTTATCAATGGCTTCCAGTTTTTCTGAGCAGGGTTGCGAGGACTCTTACTCACTTCCACCCAGATCTAGAGCAGGGAGCCGTGTATCAGCTACTGCTGCTCAATTCGCCAACATCCAACTAGTCGATTCCCCCAGAACGCTACCGTTAGAGTCCAGCCCCTCGGTCAGGTCTGAGGCTCTCCATTCCTCCGGCTATATCAGTCCCAACCCGCCCAACTCCGCAACCTTTCTCTCAACCTCCAGCTCACAAGGATATTCGCCCTTCCCTCTCCTACCTCCCGAGATCTTGAACGCAGCAGAGTGGAACGAACACGAGGTACATCACACTTCGGATTCGACCCCTCTAGTCAGAGTGGACCCCGCCCAGGACTACTCTTCCAACCAGTCCTCTCCGCCACTGCGAACTGGAGCAAGCATGAGGTGCGCTTCCAACATTGTACCAGCCACTAGACTATAAAGACCATCTAACACTTCCTTCTTCTTCAGCACTGTTGCTATTCCATTTGACCCTTCGTTCACCATGGGTAGCCGATCAGCATTCACTTGGCCTGGTAATTAATCTTCCATTTCCACTCCCCTATTGTACCCTTCTGGGATCCTCTAACATTCTCAACTTGAAGGTCTCGACAACCCCGAAGCAAGCGGGTCATTACTCGGTCACAACCTCTCTTCCCTCGGACACCATCACCAAGACGCCAGCCTCACACCCCCAAGTGGTTCCAGATCAGTAACAGCAAGTCCGCCACGGGGGACTTTGACACCAGAGCAGAGGGAATTGAAGAAGCAGAGAGACATGGCTCGTCGAGATTCCAAGGCATCACAACGCGTCCACAGAGCTGGTAGCAACCCCTACATCCATTCGCCTCCCCTCAGCCTACCCGACGTCTCTTCAACAATGGGCGTACCAGTGTACACAACAGCACCGGCGCCAATCTCCCTCCTCGCAGAGCCGACAACTTCTATGGGATCATCATCATACCTCCCCTCTTACAGCCCACCTCTATCAGACCATGGCTACCAGAGCGGATACCCACCAATGGCCCAGGCCTACAGCATGGGTGGCATGGACTACTCCAACCAGTTCCAACCCCCAGCACAATACGGGTATGTTGCAAGAGAAACCGGCGAATCGAAGAAAGACGCTTTGAAACTGATAAAACCAACGCAGAAGTCGACACTCGATGCCTGTTGGACAAGACCCGAGCCTGATGTATGGCGTGCCGCCATCGATGGGCCCCGGAGCCCCAGACCAAGGGGGTCACGTCAGAGTGGTGCAGAGCCGGCCTAAACCTCAATGCTGGGAACACGGTTGCAACGGAAGACAATTTTCAACCTTTAGCAACCTCCTGAGGCATCAAAGAGAAAAGTCTGGGCAGGCGACCAAGGCGACATGCCCTAATTGCGGCGCCGAATTCACGAGGACGACGGCAAGGAATGGCCACCTTCTCCACGACAAGTGCAAGCAGCGCCGAAACACGTGAGTGCTTGTTGGTTGTTAGAACCAACAGCACGCGATAGGGGAGAGAAACCCAGCAACAACAACAAAAGTCCCTTTTTCCAACACACACACGCAAGCCACGCAAGGACCTTACAGCCGTGCTATTTGCGGATGGAGGGGTGAAAAAACCAGATCCGTTTTACCATTCGAACTGTACATGTTTGGGGCATTGAGCATTTACTTAAAGAGGAAACGAGAGAAGCCGAGGAGGGTTACAAAAATATCGCTGGAAAGGAGGGGGGAGTCACATAGGTAGAAGTTGCCAATGAGCTTGTCATTGGCATACTTTTTGGGGAGGAGTTTTCTGTCATTTTTTTTTCTGTTTCTTGGTTCTTTTATTTGTGTTGTTTGGGTTTTCTTCTTGGGAGGTGTTTTTTTGGTTTGTTTTCGCTTCGTCATCTTTTGCGTTCTCACGACAATTTTGGAAGGCTTTTGTTTTTTCCTGGAAGCAGCGGCAAGAGCAGCACCAACGGCACAAGACGATCAAATCGTCTAGATGGCATATCTTCTTCTACTCAAATTTTCGGTATTGATGTCGATATCGATAGATCTTGAAATATACCCTTTCACTAGCGTCAAAAGAACGCATCTTTCTACACATGTTCCAATCTCGCTCTCTCAGTGCATCAGCATCAATATTAGGGACATGCAACAACTCCCATTGAAAATCAAAATAACGCCGCCCGTCAAAATTAGAAACCCAGTTGTCCGTCTTACCAACGTCGTCTCGTCTGGTCTCGTCTTACAACTCATCTGTAAGACGGACATGGCACCCGGCTTCCGTGGAGAAACCCTTTTTTCTTCGTGGTTATTTTGGACCAGTAACAAGTAACAACAGTGCGCGCAGACCCAGCGGACCTGACATCCGAACTTTTGGGCGTGAGAAAACAAATCTTGTTGCCTTGAAGGATAAATTACAAGCATCCTTGAACGCACGTCATATCGAATAATCAATTTTTTGTTCTCTTCGCTCTTTCGCTCTCTCGCTCTCATATCCGCCTTATCGTTAGTCTACATGTGAAAGACATTACCAGGAGGGAGGGGGGTCTGGCGGAAGTGGTGAAGCGGGAGAAGGAAAAAAAAGAAAAAGCCTCTGCAACCCCGGCACTTTTTCGCTTGAACCCCTGGCAATCTCGAAATTGGGTGAGTCGCCCGCAACCGGCAGCCCGCAATGTCTCTCAAGTTCCCTCACGCCCACCCCACCCCTTTCTCTGTTTCGGGCATTTGTTACCACCGACCATGGAAACGACCAAGCTATCCAAGCTAGGGCCCTTGAATCTTATGAGTGAGAGAGGGGGGAGGGAGAAATGTCCACTTTCCAAAACAATGGGAACTTCGAAGAGGGGCGGGCCCAAGGAACAATTGTTGTTGTTGGCGGCCGCCAAACGACGCTGTGACGCTGGGTCCCTTGTCAAGGCGGCCGCGGAGGCCAAGTACTGTAAGAAGAGTGAAAACGAGGTTGGAAAGACGAACAGGGACCTGCCCTTCTCTCCCCCAGGCATACAAAGGAGGGAACAATAAGCATTTTCGCTGGGAAGGGGTTTACGAGATGACAATGGAGCTCCCCCCGATCATGCGGCGTAGCTTGGTAGGCTAGTTGGATTTGGAATGCGGTACTCCGTGAGGGAAAATGGGGACAACCAAGCTGGGAATATGAGCACATTACCTTACGTTGCTTTACACCCGATGTCGTTGGATCTTTTGTCAATTCGTCAGAAATGGAGATACGACGGATTGTGGAGGGTTAGACGTCGGATGGACCAAGGTTTGGACGGACGAAGGAGGGGGGCGGCGACGACATTTCCAGCGAGGGCCATGGGAGGAGAGGAAAGGTCCTAGCTTTCGGAGTCGCTCTCCGTCCATAGGAGAGACGCTGATGCATAAGCGCCAGCGCCAAGTGAGCTATGAGCCGGGGGCTTCCTAGTGATGTCAAGATCAGTCGAGCGGAGTTGGGGAGGAGACCGTCGTGCTTTATCCGACTTTTGCAAGGGCCCGGCGGAGACTCAAACACTCGGGGGTATCCCCCGGTTCCCAGCCGTGGAACTCACGGATCGTGGGGCTGAATTCCAGGCCACCGGCGGGAGCAATCTATCGTCCACGTGTACTTCGGATGGAGAGGTGTGAGAGAATGGTATCCGTGATCTGGGAGACTGGTACGCGGCGCGTCCAGCATCCCATCTCGCTTGATTACTATCGCTTGTTGACATGGAGGACCATCGGATGATATCAATAAAATATGGAGATTCTTGGTGATGGACGGACGTCCCCTCTTCGCGCCGGTGCCGGACCGAGACGGCGCGGAGCCAACTGGGAGGGGGCTTTGGCGCACTTTGAAGATCAATATATGATGCCATCCATGACTTGGGGTGGCTCCAAAGAGTCTTATTTGCGTGTCGTAGTCCTAGAACCGGGATGGCTAGCAGAGCCGCTGCGAACAAGTGGCTGCCGTGCAACGTTGAGAAGCCGTGGAGTCGAAAGATGCTTTACCAAGTTTACGGGTCGACTGGCGTAGGATCGGCACCATACAGACGGATAAGGCAGTATTTTAGACGTCCAGATTGGCCGCGGATGAGATTGCCTTCTTCTCGAATTCCTCATCTTTTGCCCAATACCGGAACAGCGAAGCTTGCAGTGATTTTCTTCTCGCGAGAATTGCTGACTTGACGTCCATCGGGCCAGAGCCGAGAGAAAAACGCTAGTCGGCAAACCATCCAGAGTTGAGCGACACATGCAACGAATACTTGGAAGAGTATGCAGTTGGCCGAATCAGGCTGGCCGACTTGCATGCTGCCATCGGACCAGGCAACGCAAGAGGGGCCAGTTGACTCAACCCAAGCCTCTTCTGTCTAGTGTAACTGGTCCCGGCGGGCAATGGAAGACCCGCCTCCCGTCGCAACGGACCTGGTTGGGGGGCTAGGAACCTGGGACCCGGGCTCCCAGGGCTCACAAGGGAGAGCGGGCAGCGATCACCGTCGCAGACAACCCAGACAAGCCGGGTTCAGTCAAGGCAACGAAATTTTCTTGCAGATGGGCTGCTTAAAGTTGTCTCGCTCGACCAGCGTATCCGTATTCAGCAGTCTGGACTGTAGGCCAGGAGTGGCAGGCCAAATTTCTTCTGAGCAGGAAAGCATTCCGTAAAGCTTAGGGTTATGATATCTTTTGGGCCAAGCGGGCTGCGATACGGTGAGCAAAGAACAACCGGCAAGGTGAGGGGAACAGGACCGGGATACGTACCGAAGATGAAGGTAAGGCAAGGTACGTACTTATTGGAGAAAGGGAAAATGCTGGTGGTGTGTGGTCACCGTGGTGTGGTGTGTGGTCTAGCTGCCCCCGCCTTCACCCCTCCCCCCATGTTCGACACAGCCGCGATGGAAATAGGACGGGTCCTAACTTGTAGGGAAGACGTTGGTAGGCCGTAGGCGTCCCTAACGATGTCGGGTCTAACGTCTATCGAGTCCATCTGATTAAGGAAAGAGGTTGGGGTTGGAGGGTTGATCGCGACAAGCCTGCCTTTAGGCATCAAAATAAGGTCGAATTGGAGATGCACAAATCTCGTTTGAGCTGAAATGAGTTCTTGCTTCTGAGAACTTGAGGCTTGGAACGGCCCGCCAGGGCGAGAAGGAATAGACGGGCGGGCGGGCGGCGGCATACCGCGGCTGTTGACGCAGGTAGTTAGCAGACTTGTGCGGTAGTCATGGCTATGGTGGAGGTGGACATAGTCGTTGGAGCTCGGTTTCTCTGTATCCTGACGAATAGACAATGACGATGACGATATCGTCGCTTGCTCTTCTGGCCTTGAGGGTGTCCTGTCGATGGCTGCGCGACGCCCACGCGCCTCTCAGAGGTCTTCCGCGGGAGGATGGGGCACAGAACCAAGTGATGCTGCGTCAAGGGCGTGTCATCCTCCGAGTCCGAGAATGACAAAAGAACAAACGCAGCCCAGTCCGAGATCAACGTGGTATTGAGGAGCCATGCAATGCAGATGCAGTGCGAGGGAAGACGATGTGGGTGCCACCCGGTTGGTGTCGACGACCTGGTGATGGATCAGAAAGGGCTGGCCTGGCAAGTTGTGAGAGCGACACTGCAAAGGTGAGGGAGATATCTTACTGGACCGCCCGGACTTTTAGAGGGTCGCCCCCGCCGTCTGTCAGCCCTCACCCAGCAGACTGGAGGAGGGCAGGCGTGGCAGGGTGCAGGGGACGCTGCGGATAGATGTGAAGAAAGTGCAGTGCAAGACCACAACGGTGGGTACCTTACCTTGCTCTGGTCTGTACGGTAGAAAGGTACGTACGGAGACGACACCTTACTCCTGGGTACGTAGATATTTCGTGTATGGCTACGTTACCTCCTTTCCTCTCAGTTGACATATTGCATAGATTCCGCGAGGTACGGATACTGGGCGGTACCCTTGCTGGGCGTGCAGGTCTGGAAGCGACGATTAACTGTAGGTACTGTATCAGCAGTGAAGGCAATCCTAACCTACCTTACTTACCTTACCTTACCTTAGTCAATGCTCAATACGCCGCTCTGTCTCCTTATTGCCACTTCTCATGGGAGAGTCGAGACTGCCATACCTTGTCCCACCAACCCCAGAGACATCATCCTTACTCCGTACAAACTGAATCTTCGGTCTCGAGGCAAGCTCTCTCGTCCGAAATCCTTGCCGGGTTCACTGAAGACGTTCATCCTTGGTTCTGGCTCGTGCTTGTCGGAGTTTCTCCGCCCCCAAATTTCAATCCCAGGGTGGAGCGAGCGGTTCAAGTCGCTACCCGAAACTCTCGCAAGGGCCAAATGTTGGTACCTATTGCAACATCAACTTCGCCAAGTGCCCAACGTCGTAGTACTGTGGTCGTAGTGTATACTTCGCTCTTCCTCCACACCCCGACTTGCCTTCCCATACAACTCAATTTACTCTTTCCTGAACCCCCTTTCTGGGGAGACAACTCGACACCCTGCCTTGTGAGGCACATGGCTAACAAGGAAAAGCCAGGAGTGGAAGACGAGGCGATAGAGCCGTGAGTAGAGCATAAGCGGCTTTTGTGTCGTAAGGGGGGAGAAGCATCATTCATGCGCTGGATGTGCCCGCATCTGTGCTCCGTACGGAGTACGGGTGGTAAAAAAAAGACAAGGGGTACCACCTGATAGAATCTGATGTCATCTTTCGCAAGTCGCCTGCCATGAGAGTCGATGTGCGGTAAAACACCGAATAAGAGTTGAGAGAGAGCAAGAACAATGTCGTGCCCGTTATGCCTAGAACTCCGCATGGGACCCAGCCATGATTAGAGAGGCCCGAGGTTGACGGTTTGATGAGGAGACCCTATTCGTAATGGTTCAAAGGAAAAGCGTGACGAAAGATCAAGAGATCCAAATCCCCGTGTATATGAGCGAGGAAGGGTTGGGGGTACGAAGGGGTCCAGTATCGGTGGGGGCTGGCGATGGCAAGTATCCGTAAACCTGCTCTTCCGGGCTCAAGCACAGGTACCAAAGGTGCCTGGCTGGCTGCAATACTTGGGATGTGCAATGATTGGTCCCTGGTTTCTGGATCCAACCTCCAGGTTACTCTTCTGCAACCTCGATCTTACTCCCGAACAGGCTCGGGAGTAAATGCCTCGAACGCATGGTAGCCTTGTGGGATTCCATAGCCTTTGTCCGTAGTGTACAGATACGGACAGACGTCAATAATCGAGCCCCCCTGAGATGTGATCCGGGGGCTCCCCGTGCTGGGTAAACGCTAGTCTGGGCGGATGACTACCACGCCAACCGCTCAAGAGTCGAGATTGCAGTCATTAGAGTGGCCTCATGCTCCACATGAACGTATCGGCGGACCCAGAGCGACCACAAATGATCCCCGAGCTTCCGTGGCAAACCGACCCTAGTCCCGAATTCTCGTGCGCGTTCGGCCCCATTGCGCCCGTCGGTGAATCACTGCGAACGCGGAAGACTGGGACCTACGACTGTCGGGCATGTCGGTGTTGTCGTCCGGGCTTCACTCGCGCGGCTTGGTGTAGTATTCTGGACATGGCAATCTGCGCCCAATACCAGCTACTTTCGTATCGCAAATGAAAAAGATCGGGAAAAGGAGAAAAGGGGCCGCCGTTCGGCAAAATCGAAAAAAAAAAACTCGCGACAGGCCAAGGAGCTATCGGCTGTGGGCAAGATAGCACAGACGATTGCTGTAAGACTCGACTGTTCTACCCTTTGACAACACGGTTTGAGACCGCTGTCTGTCTAGGGTGGCTTGCGACAGACGATTTGGCGTCATGGATATACGCAAGCTCTGTGTCCTCAGGAAGAGACACTCACACTCGCTGGTATTTCAGACATTGCAGAACGATCCAACTTCCCACCGCCCACACGCAATGACGCGAGCCGTGGGAAGCTTCAACTACAGCCGATGCAGCTGTGAACTTGCGACAACTCTCTTCGACCAACCAGTGCATGGGACTCCCAGACTGTTCGCCGCGGGGTTGGGGGCCAAAACCTAACCTCTGTTGCATTATATAAGCAGAACATGCAACAGGCAAACGTTCACGTGGAGCTGCGACTCCAGCGACCCGGAAAAGTATGGGGCCCATATCCTACCGGTTTGGGGAATCACCTTAAAGTGAGGTTGCATTGGTGATGGCCCACTACGAAGGCATGCCAAGTTGACAAGTTGACAACAAGCTGTGACAGGTCCTGACATGCTGTGGCCCTCTACTCTCCTCGCGCGCCATTGGACGGAATTCTCGACTACACTCGTTGCGTCTTGGCCCTTATTGGCCACCATGCGACCTGCAAGTGCAATCCTTCAAGACTCATCAAGCGTCTGCTATTCGATGATAGCAGTAGCGAAGTAGGCGCAGCAAGTTTGACCTGAGACGCCAGAGCATAGTCTAGCTAAGTGCGGCTGCTTCCTTGCCTAGTCGTTCGGGATTACCTGGTATACCGACGACCCCTCTCTAGTTGTTGAAAGTCTTCTTCCTAAAGTCGGGTGATGGATTTCTGGCATCTGTCAGAGCTCGAATAACTGTGGCTGTCTCTATCCCTAGCCCCTAGAGCTTCGGGTAACCCAAACTTGTGAGCCCCTTCTTCGTCATCCGCTTGGCCTAAGTCCATGACAGTCGTTCGAAGTCGCAACGTTTCTGGCAGAACAAGCTGCAGCTGTTCAATTGCTGACTTCAAGCTCTGAACTCACATCCGGGGACATGAGCGTATGCTTGTAACGTACTCCGAGATCGAGGGAGGTTGTGGTAGTGATTCCAGAAAAGCTCTTGCTTCGGACTACAGGAAGACGCCCCTATAGCAGTCGAACAGCACTGCAAAGAATCTATTGAGACACTCGGTAGCCGCTCGTCGGCTCTGTTGTCGCTTGCGCGCTACGGGCAGGCTGACGGTCTGTGATGACTTCCAGGCAGCAGTATTATTCGAGGTCCACTGATGGGCTAGGCGGGCGAATTTGAACAAGGTTGGTGGCTTGATCCACTGCCGTGCCGGTCGGGAGCATCCCACAGCCCAGTCCATCTGCATTGATATCGATTCACCCTCCATCTCGTCGAAGGCTAGACGCTCAGAAGCCAGCCCTGTTGGGCGCGAAGTGGCGAAGTCACCGGCAGGACGCTGATGTACAATCGCGGCGGGGCGAACAGGTGGCACGAAAACGGTGCCACTGTCACTTTCAAAGGATCATGAAGCAACAGTGGTCAACGGCTAAGGGTGGTTGAAAAGCAGGGGCCGGCTCATAGGGCGACAGTGGAACAGCCACATGGAGGCTCTGGAAAGGACTGTGCCGCCTTCAAGCATGCATTATCTTGTCTACCGGCTGCTTTGATTTGCAGGCAGACGTTAAGAGAAAGCCATGAAGCTGTGGCTCCTGATGAGCGGGCGTTCAGATCGGAAGGATTGCAGATGGGATCGTCTTCAGAACCACGAAGTAGTCGATAAGTAACGGCGAAGCGTTGACGACAAGTACGGCAAGCTTGATCAGAAGCATGGTAAGTCCCATCCTTTCCATGTAGGTAAAGCTAACAGGCTTCATCCGTGGGGTTGGTGTCGAAGACGTGACAGCCTCTTCGTATAGACAAGCGTATGTTGAATGACCAGGGCACCCCGTCGTATGCTTGTCCATCATTTCGACCTCGCTCGGGGTTAATGACGGTAGAAATTGACTAAGCCGGAAGACAGCAGCCGTCTGTTTGTCTCGGGGCCGAATGCCTCCTCTCCCTCGACAGTTCCGTGGGACTCATGGGGGTCGCATTTCCCCGCTTCGAAGGAAGAGGCTTGAAGCTGTGATCGGTCATGAAAGTGGCCGATTGGGGCAAGCCCGCAATGGTTCGGTGTTTGAACCACTTTTTTGCCAGGTTATATTGGCTTCGATTCCGTTCGTGTACTCCCGAACAAATCTTCCGGTACGGAGAGACGAGCCGACAGCGAGCGATATTGGAATGCATACGTATTGGAGTGCCAGGATGACGCGACAGCTGCCCGACGTCGATTGTAAATCGCCCCGGCCTTGGATGGCCACGGCGCCCGTTGCTTGGGATGGCCCTGCCTCTTTTTGCTGATCGAGGGGCCAGCCCACTGGCAATCAAGCCTAGATTCGAATTCTCGCACGATTTGGAGATTACTCTTAATATTGCGCACTGGCCAGCAATACTCCACGTCTGGATACGAAACATGGTTAGTCGCCAATGACTTATGAGAAGAATGCGTTACAGGCTCTTTGCGGTACGGTTCAAGCTTTGAGAGGTGGGAAGGCAAGTGCGTACATGAGATTGGGATCTTATTGCTCTCTTGTTGTGTCTCCTTGAGAGTTTGCATTCATGTTCAAGTCCCCCGTGGACCCTTGCTCTGGCCCAGCGGTGATCCCTTGTCATGTCTCCTATCTTCTCTATGTTGAAGCATGCAGGTCCTGCTGAGGACAGGTTCGACGCAGCTTGTCTTGATCCTTCGTCTCGTTACCCCACACTTGTCGTAAGGAAAACACCACTTGAAGACATGCCCTCGACCATGCTCGACAGGGAAGAGCGGCTGCGGGCGCTTTAAGCGAGTATTTGTGGGTTGGTGGCAATGACACTGAAATGACTTGTCTATGGTCCTCAGGTAACACGCCTAGCTAGGCACGATACTTTCTCCCAGCGGTTTTGAGTCTTCGTAGCTTGGTCATAGGCTGCGAATTTACATCGGGAGTCGTCCGCAAATATGGTGGAATCCAGCGGTTGCTTAGATAAGGTAGCAGGGGAGCTGTTGAAGGTGTGCAGGAGACAAGCGAAAGAGAGAGAGAGCGTCGTATTGTAAGGGTGAAGGATAGGGGTAATTGTAAAAGTGGATGCCGACTCGAGGGGGCGTGGACATAAGACGATCCAGCAGGAGCAGGGGCCACCCAAGTATACTGTGCTCGATACGGTGCTTTACCATTCTGCACACTGCCAGCCATCACGACGCACGCACCAGCAGCATTTGCGCGGTGTGCGCCTGTTTCGCTTCGTGGCTGCCGCTCCGGGCGTTCTTTCCCCGCAGGCTGACCAATTGAACCATGAACGTCGCGCTAGCGCCTGTCGCCAGCTGCGGGAGAAATAAGCGCGACACTGCGATAGGCCCACGTTATCCCTCCCAATTTTTGAGGCGTCAAGCACCGCTTTAAGCGCAGCGCTTAATCAACCCATCAACGCCAAACAAAGTAAACACATCCATCCATCTACCTTACTTTGGAAATCAACAACAACCGGCGACAGAACGGTAATCCTTCACGATAGATACCGTCGACCGAAACAATTGCGACTTCCTTATTGAGCCACCGCACCATCCTTGCCGAGACTCTGCAATGAAGCAGGCCTTGAATCCTTCCGCTTGAGCGCATCTGGATGCATTCCACAAGCAGTCATGGCCACGATAGTGAGCGCCGCGCCGTCTAGGTGGAGCGGCAAGAGACAGAGTGTGTTCAAATCAGTCTTTGACTCCGAAATCTCGCAACCCACTCCTCATTCGATACCTTCTCAGAGGTTCAAGTCGCAGGGAGAGCCGTTTGGCGCCGCACTATCACCGCCACTACACCGTCAATCACCCTCCCGCTCGCATTTCCCCGGCCATGGCAAACCTTCAGAATTCCACGCCTCGTCTTCATCTCGGCCTTCACAAACCTCTGCTTCCATGCAGACCAGCGACCAAATCCGGTGGGACCAAGCATGGCACGTTGTGACGACTCGTATTCAACTTCCGCCGTCAGTGGCCGCTGAGGACTCCTTTGGCACTTTGGCTCCGGAATCCCAGGATCACGACGCAGACTTTTATGATAGTCTAAAGCTGGTTCTCCATCCAGCTAAGCACGCTGAGAACGCCTCTAGTACCAGGGATATCCTTTCCTGGCATACTCAGCAGGTTCGCCACCATTTCGCCCAACATGTCCTCCCCCTACTTTCCGCTTGCAACACGTACGGTGACCAATCCCAGGTCCTCCTTGGAAGCATCCATACTCTGGAAGCAGCTCACCGCCAGTATCTTTATGGGCTGTCTCTTATCGTGCGGGGCCTTGAGAACAGGCATGCAGACATCGCCGTTGACAAGTTCCGCCGTGATCTACATGCAGTCATCGGCAACTCCATGTCGCAGGCGCTTATGGAGTCCCTCCGAGCTGTTCTGAGTCGCCTGATGAGGTTGGTTCTGGGCATGCAGCAGACCAGCCCTCCCTCAAGTGTCTCTCGGACAACCGACCTCGAAGCAGATCGTCAGGCAGCAGCGGCAGCGGCAGCGCGGCAAGAGCTTCTGCAGTTGATCGAGGCACTGCACAAAGTAGGACTGGCAGGCGAGAGGTTCCAAGTCCTTTTCGCTGAGCTCATGGATGCCATGATGGTGGAGCACGTCAGAACATCATTCGCGGGCGCCTGGACGCAGTCGAAATCTGATGGCGGGAAGGATGCTCCGCGCGCCTCGTCTGTGCCTCGCGCTACGAAACTTGGCACTCCTTCACGCTGCATTGCTGCACTATGCAATTGGGTCGAGAACCATTATTCGCGGCTAGCAGTCGAGGTGTTTGCCCGCCTTGGAAGCGGCGACATTGCTTGGACCGATGTCGAAAAATGGAAGGAGATTGCCGTTGGGCGATTAGCAGTCATGCGTATTCATGAACTCTTCGACATCGTCCTCCAATGGCCCTACAGCAGAGGCGCTCTTGATGACCTCCGAATGGCAATCACAACGCCACAAAGACGGCTGCAACTGACGGACACGTTTTCGGCAGCGTTACAGAAACGGCTGTTGCACCCGGGACGGTCAACACTGGATATACTACGGGTATACATTTCCATGATCAGGACTTTTCATGCTCTAGACCATTCCAAAGTACTACTGGACCGTGTGGTCCATTCGCTGCAGCTTTACCTATGTCAGAGAGACGATGCGATCCCCATCGTCGTGACGGGACTCCTATCCAATCCGGATGACTCAAGTACTGAGGCAGGCAGTACGAAACTTATTGAGCTCGCCATTCTCCTCAACGATCCATCGCAGCAGAGAAGACCTGCCATGGAGGATGAGGAACTGGACTGGGATGACATGGAATGGATCCCCGATCCCGTTGACGCCGGAGTCAACTACAAGCGTCCCAAGTCAGAAGATGTCATCGGGACCTTGATTAGCGCTCTAGGCTCTCAAGATATCTTCATCAAGGAGTTCCAAAATATCATTGCAGAGAGATTACTGTCCACACAGGTGGAGTTCAGCCAAGAAGTCCGTGTGCTTAATCTACTGAAGAAGCGGTTTGGGGATAATGCCTTGCAAAACTGCGACGTCATGATAAAGGACATTCAAGACTCGAAGAAGGTCGACGCCATCATCTCCAAGACGGTCAGGGCAGGCGTTATCGGTTCCGTTCGTAAGACCCACAACACCCCGTCGTATCATACCAAGATTCTTTCTCGGCTCTTCTGGCCAACTATGGACCGAGAGCATTTCATCTTGCCTGGGCCTGTCGTCGAGGGTCAAGGGCAGTACGAAGGCGAGTTCGAGCGTCTCAAGTCTAACCGCAAGCTTACATGGCTCAATAATCTCGGAAACGCCACTGTAAGCCTCGAACTCGAAGACAGGACAGTTGAGAAGGAATGCAAGACGTATGAAGCTGTAGTCATATATGCATTCCAAACAGACGAGTCTTACAGCGGAACGCTTCCCATACGTCGCACAGTTGACGAGCTTGAAGAGGTGCTGCAAATGGACGATGATCTGATTCGCTCCGCCCTTTCGTTCTGGGTCGGTCAGCGTGTCATCCGCGAGATCGAGCCGGGTACCTTCATCGTCATTGAGAAGCTAGATGACGATACCGACGATGGAGGGAACCCACCTGGACCGGGACCCGATGATGCTCCGGCGCCCGACTCAGGCGACCTTTCACCCAAGAAGCCGGGCGCATTAGATGCCAAGGAGAAGGAGCGTCGACAGGTGTACTGGCAGTTCATTGTTGGTATGCTGACCAACTCAAGTCCAGCCATGCCACTGGTTCAGATCGCCATGATGATGAAGATGTTGATAGCGGACGGGTTCCCATGGAGCAACGAGGAGCTGCAGGAGTTCCTTGCAGAGAAGATGGCGATGGATGAGTTGGAGCTGGTGGGTGGAAAGTATCGACTGCCAAAGAAATGAGCGGCATAGGTTTTTCTGACAGTAGAGAAAAGACTCGTCGGATAAGGAGGTTCTGGATGAGTCCTTGTTACGGGGGACTTTTAAACCACAATTTGATTACCTGCGGCTCATTTGAAGAGCCACACTTTGGTACAGTCAATAACAGCTACGATACCCAACCAAGTCATGTTCAGTAGCCGGTGTCCCGTGACGTTGGTGCTGTGACTGAAGATCACGGCGCATTGTAGACAAGATATCTGACCCTATGCGCTTTCCAAGCACCTTCTTCTGGTAGCGAGACAATTCGTGAAGTCGTTTTGATCCATCTATCCTGCATCGAGATCTCCGCGGACATGAGCTTGATGCCTACCAATCTGTCATCTGCCAATTTGAGTGTCATTAGGGGTGGAGTGACTTCATAATTCAGTTCAATCCTCGTTTTGGCTACAAAAGTCAGTAAAATCAGCAGAAGCTGTTCTCGTAGCTTCGATCAATTATTGCATCAGGGCTCTCTCTCCTTGGTCTCTCTTCGATAACCACCTCCGGCTGAAGAGGCTAGATTTAAAAGAGCTTACCTCGCATCGTGCCTGACTTCGACGAGAATGGAATATCTAGAGAATTTTTTCAATCGCCGTAAATAAATGGCATCGGCTGGCACCTTGGGTGGTAGAGACCTATTTGTTTCTTTTACTTCTTGGGACGACGCGTATGGTTAACGGGTAGCTACCAAACTGCTCAACGCGACTACAATCCTCGACGGCCGTCAGTCATCGGCCCATTTGCTCGCCTAGGTGGTATCTCTCGCCTTGAGTTGACTACTGTGAGGCTACATCTGGTCAATCTGAAGGGCTGTTCCCCTGATCATGAAGTCTTTGTCACTCATATTGATGATGCTCGAGGGACTGCTTGACCAGACAACAACGGCCGTACCACGCGTTTCTTGTCTGTGAGTCGCTTCGTGCTGATATGATTGTTCAAATATAACGATCTGCTGTATCTGGTACCCCTGAGCGTAGAGTTATCTGAATAGGATGTGGAATCTGAACAGAACCTATCGAGAGGTTCAGGACTAATCCTGCGTACTTCATAAGCTTGCCCTGCAAATGCGCTTGTACGCTTTCAGCATGTGATGACAAAATGCCACCTTATTTTAAGACTTTGGGAATCATTAGACCGTCATATATACTTCAGAAAGAGGCTTCAAGCAGTGTAATTGCCTCTCGATGTTGACATGGGAGCTGATAGCTAACCCAGTGAGCTAGGTGCGAGGGGGAAAAGGCGAGATATCAGGCATCAGCCGCTGAGCGTTCTAAGCCATATAAGATGATATCACCTTATTCAAACAAGATTTGGCCCGTGTTCGTGAGACTGCACTAGAGATAT